CTGTCATGGTTGTTAGATAATCACTTTGCAAGCATTTAATCCAGCATTTTCTACTGCACTTGAAGTGTTTATTACTTTTGTGTAGTTCGTTTTCTAAGCAACAAATAATGACAAAATACTACTGTTTTGACTAAAGCTATTTAAAAGTATATGAACTTTCCTCTTTATCTTCACACCACTAAGAAAAATAATACTTACACCAGTTTTTTTTCTATTAATAGACAATGATTGAGGACACTGAAAATTTTGACATTTCATGAAAAACTTCAAGTAGCTCTAGAATGAAAAATAAGCAAAGCCGGTGAATGTAATATTGTATAACTGTTGTGATGCATAATGTTCAGATAAAGCAAAACAATTGCCATTTTTAATTCTTGAGAAGAATATTTTATGCATAAGGAACAAACTATGTTTACAGAAAAGTCTACAATATTTTTTATTTCCTCCTGTTCTTTTTTATTTTATTTTGACTTTAAAACTACCATTTTGTTTGATTCTTTATTTCCACAAGGCTTATGATAAAACATAGAAGTAGGAGGTATATCAAATTACAGGAGGTTATACAGGAAAAATAAAAATGTATAGGTAACATGGGAGAAGTTTATTTGTTTAGAAAAAAACAGATTTTTAATTCATTCCCTACTGTCAACTGAAAATATCTTTTAATAAAAACTCATGCTGCTCAACTGGTCTTATATATATATATTTTACACTCACATAGCTACTAAAAACATTTCTATAACACTTAAAAACATCTGATATATAATATTAATTGAAAGTTACAGAAACTTTATATTACCTGGATAACTCCAACAAGCTCCTGACAATGATTTACTTTTCAGAATTCAAATATGTTAAATACTCTTGAGAAAGAAATCAAACACAAATGCTTTTGGCTTTATTTCTACAAGTCTCCAAGAATTACATTTTATTGATATATGTACCTTTACTAGGAAGACTTTCTTCAGAACTTGAGCTAGTGGGACTTCGAAGCCGACAAGCCTCCAAAGACGGAGGACTAGGTGATGGACTGGAATCTACAGAGCAAGAGGGAGAACTCTCACTATTGGGGTGTGGAAATGTTGGTCCTGCTGGAGCACCATGTGAGCACTGATTGTTACTCACAGAAGCACTGTAGGAGTGATTAACAATACCATTTGGTAGATAAACTGGCCTGAATAACAAAGACAATAATACATTTTGACTTTCATAGATAATTACTAATATATACAACAATCCTCAGAAAAATAATAATTCAGACAATGCCACCTGCTGTACATTGGTTGAATAAAGTTTCGGTTAAATAATTAAATGGATCCACTTGGTTTAAAGCAAATAAAAAATATCTTAAGAAATTCCAGAAGAAAAACAACTGTATCATGTAAATATATATATATATATATATATATATTACACTACATAAACTTCACAGATAAAGGAAATTTTCTTTTTTTTTTTTTACTATACTTTGATCAAATTACCTAAAACAACTAGGTAATAGGAGAAATAAAATTTTATCTAATTTGTGAATTTTAAATAGGTAGACTGATTATAAAGTTGCATGAACTCCCATTATGGCATGTAAAAGGTCTAAACATTAATATTTTGGAAATTTATCATAAAAAGTTGTGTTATTGTTAGCAATAACCAAACAGAAACTGATACAAACTCTTGCTTGTTATAAAAGTTCTTGAAGCTACTATAGCTGGATTATACTTAACATTGGTTGATAAAGTAGATGTTTTAAATATCTTCTAGCAAGATATCACCCAGGATAGAAATTAAATTCTTGAAATCATGAAAAAAAGTTGATAACCTATTCTCATTATATAAATGCAATTAACATGCTCTAAACATGTGTATCAGCACTATAAAATGATCTACATCGCTGCAGGAGTGTAACATCTCACTCCAATGAAAGTACGAAGAGTACTTGTATAATTAGTTATTTCCAGATAACATCTCATTTGTCAATTTATTCTTTCAGATATTCATTGTACATTTAGAGATATCACTTTTAGATGCTTAAACATCAATTTTAAATTAGGCATATTCAATATAATTTTATAGGAAGTATTTTTTACTGATGTAAGTTTCACTTTTTCTAAATGTTATTATTGAGACTTAATGTATTCAAATGTACTTGCACACATACATGCTTATGCCACATAATATATTATTCTCAAACACAGGTTCAGGGCTAGTCACCTCAGCCCCTACTGAAAATCTGTATCAAAACTTACTGATTGTTCAATAATTGAAATTAAGACATTTCTTATGTACACTAAATGAAAAACATATACTGAGAAAAAGATAACAAGTTTAAACAGTCTGTAACTTTGTTTCAATGACTATAAGTACTTTTAAAGTCCAACAACTGAAAAATTAAAACTTTTATAAGGGAGTGATGAAAACATGCAGATCATTACTATTACTTTCCTCTTAGTCAGTTAATACAGATTTTAAACCTAAAAACATGCAAGCCCTCTTGGAGAGTCAGCTTAAGCATTTTACACTAGCCTATTGAGCTTCTTACACTTTGAACAGACTTTTGGCTGGCATATATCCAAACCAGCTGATAGTTTCTAGCATTGAATGGAAGGGTTCTGGGCATTAAGTTTTAACATTCTTTCACAAGTTTATCTGAAATCCATGATGGACAATTTAACTGTTTAAAACCTGGTAGCCAGTATAATGCCACCTCTGACCTTGCATTAATAAAATTTAAAATAACCCCTAAAAGTTGCATCTGAAATACAGACACTTTAAACACATGGCACAGCTTTAGGATCTTTTAAAATATTTTTTTTTTTGTTAATTTATGATTTATAATACAATTAAAACCATTACATAGCTATATACTATGCTATTATGCATGATACACATAACTGTTGACTTGAGAGCCAGTTTTCAAACGTATACTATAATAGGCCTAATGACTTGGTAGGTTAGGCCACTTAGTTGAAAAATGTTGTAATAAAAATTTATCTAAAGCATTAAAATGAAAATAAATAGACAGTTTTTACCTCAGTCCATTTTAATAATAAAAAACAAACTTATCAATGCCTTTTTACTACCTTATGTACTTTTTCAAAACAGACAAGAGCAAAATATGATACTTGCATTCACAATTGCCTGAAGCTATAAAACTTACAAATTCATGTAAACAAGAAATTAAATGCCAAGACAACCACTTCAGTAAATTAAATAACCATGGAGGGAAACTCATTAATTTACTAACTGTCCATGGTATACAAATAATAGAAAACCATTACTACATGAAACCCCACTCAACCTTGAGGTGCCTTGAACTGTAATAAGAAATTTTTCAATTTCACAATCTAGTGTAACTACATAAAGAAGGAAAATAACTCTACAGCAAATAGATTACGAGAAAGTAAATATGCCCAGGTTTCATATGATGTATTAACAATTTTGGCAGCTTTATAAAGTTGAAAACTGAAAAACAAATCATACAGATTGTTGAATTTTACAGTTCTTGGCATCATCAACTTCAAATATTCACTATTTTCAAACTATTTCAGCTACAAATAAGTCAAACTAATGCTGAGTTACCAGAGATACAACTGACAAATTGCATCTGTTTAGGCAGAAAATTTAACAGTTTTCACCATTTTCAGAATAATTACAATAGGGGGGCATAAATAAAAAACTAGGGCTAGCAGTTTTGATTTTTTTTTTAATCACTTCATCCAAAACAAATGTTGATAAAGTTTATACCAAAAAGAAAATTTAAAATCAACATTTTAGTTATACTTTTATTTCGGAGGTAATTTGAATGGATAGATGTTGAGCCATCAGTAACAAAATTTTGACACCATAACATTAAGTTTATTGTATGGGTCTGATTATAAAGCTGTAAAATTTATAGTTGCCTTATAATCACAGGCCCCCTTCCCCCTACTCTAGCCTGTCACATTCCTTAAAGTCCAAATAGCATTTGTCTACACATGCACACCAGACGTTCACTCAAGGTTATCGCTAATTGTTGCAACTAATCCATCTTCAGGCTGATCAATTATTGTATTGATTTTGTGGACCTAAAAAGGGACATTATGACACTCAATTTTTTTTTCTTTCATGGGGGTTGTCTTCTATTCAAGATTGTCCAATAATTGGACAATACAGTAATTTTAAAACTGAAAATTTAATTACCTGAATCCATAAAGAGCTTTTTTTAGTTTTCGAGCTGCACCCATGGTCAAGCCAATACCTTTCAAGTCAAGTTCATTCAAATTCTGAAGCTGTAAAATATAAAAACAGTTTGTTAAGATATGTCTTTTTCACCATATTATAGAAACTTTGCCCTGTGGCTACATTTTACTTTGTACATGTGTAGAATACAAGATTCCTTTCCTCATTTCAATTTTGAACTAACAAAAAAAAATATTGTAAATTTTTCCCATCCAATACACTATCATATTATCATTTCATGCTACTTTGCAAGCTCAACATTAACCTAGTATACAGAATTCAAATATTATAAACAAACTGTTCCTCTCACCTCTAGAATTTTGTGACACTTCTCACACATTTACTTGTTGCTATCTTACATAATTACTTTGCCAATTGTAAGATAATGATTTACAACTTGTTTTTTCTAGTTTCTTTAAAAACCTATTAGTTAAAAAAAAAAAACCTCTGATGTTTACATTCAATTTCTACCTATAGCTGGAAGCATAAGGTGAAGAAAATTTTTTCTGAAACTATATCATTGTATGAGATAAATACAAACTTTTCCAAAGCAGTTGGTCTTTCATTTGTCTTTTATATTGAACAATATTTTGCAAATATTACACACTGCTAACAGTATCCTATATAAATTTTAGACCCATTTAACATCAACATTTACAAGCTTTAGATTAAAAAACAACATAACAAATATAAATATGAAAAAGCTTATGTGATGTAGGCAATCACCTTTTCTATCGTGTAACCACGAAGATTTTGGATATACTTGCGCAGCCCTTCTTTCTTCAAAAGTTGTTCCAAAGACTGAATGTCATTTGAATCCATACCAGTGGAGGAAGATCCCCGATCACCAGCCAAGGAGATTCGTGACGTCCAGGGTGATGCAGACCTAGAGCTAGTACCAGAATGAGGAGGGGACACATATGGTGATGATTTTGGAGATGAAAGAGGAGAAGTAGTGGGGGAGGACTGTGCTGGAGGCTGTACCCTGTTGAGAGTTCTGAAAATTACATGAAGAAGGTTGTTCTGAGTACTTCATTGGTCTTTTTCATACTGAGGTATCTAGTATTTGTTATTTAATGTGAATAAAAAATAGTTCATAAATAATCAAACATCAAATTATTGAGTTACAGTAAAAAGGCATATCCACATGTGACCTTACATATCCACACTTTTTTTGTATCTAATGGTTATAAAACTCTTCATACATGTAGGAGGCTATACATTCTAAGTGATCCAGTCTGTTCTTACAAATATGTCATTTTCAGAAAATTATGAACATTCATAATGGAATTTTTGAAGTATCTGTCAAAAACTGAATAGTTTTTGTTTTATTTATTTTACCATATCCTTTATGGAGCAGAAAGTAAGTGACGTTTAAACCACCTCACCACAGTTTACAAGAATCCAACTGAAAAGAGCAAAAAGACAGTTTAACATTCAAAATACGAGTAGCCAATTTCCATCATGAAAAAATTCAAATGAAAATACTATGAAGTATTTGTTTTGTTCAAAGTTACAGCAAAAGTATAACAGATACATACATATATTTATTTGCAATGACAGTTTAAGACAAATTTTCAACCTCTATATAAATTTTTTAAACAAACTTTTAGAATTGAACTTGATCCTGCCCAGAACTGTGGATTAAGAGTAGCACAAAATTAACTTTCATTACTATTTTCAATTACTAGTCTCACTGTAGTTATAGTAAAAACTAGCATGTTATTTGACAATGTAAGTCTCTTTCATTGATATGAGGAAAGGACTAACTTACGAGTAAAGGACAACTTATAATGAGTATTTCTGGGTAAAGATAAGTTTCAGGTATTAGTAATGAAGCCATTATAAGATAATGTCTTTCTCTCTCTAAATTCTCAATTAGTTCATCATACTTGTGCTCTGACCTCTTTACTGTATTAAATAACAATGATATTTACACTAAAAATCTATTTAGATGTTTTAACAAGTCATAGTTCTTTGACCTTTAATAAAGAATTTTTATACCCTACACCTTACTTCTAATTTAGGATGTTCATTTGGTTTGTTTGTTTTTTGAATAAAATCCAAATCTGGGGAAAAAAATTGGACTGAAACATTTATCATATTAGGGATACTGGTTTGCAAAATAATGTTATTTTGTCATAAGAAAGACCATGAAAGATGAGTTTCTTAACAATCTTACAAAGTTGCTGAACAAAACTGCAATCCAACACAAGGTGGAAATATTTTGTATTAAAAAATATTTCAATCAATTAAATAAATAACAAATAATAGTGTCTGAAGTCTGATTTTGTCCCCCCCCCCCAACAGTTAGATCAATTATGCCAAAAATGGGTATGAAAACATTAAAACTTATAATGTCCAATGATCTTATCAACTACAAAAATTTCACCATATAAGAACTGCTTTCAACCACTTTTTATTTTCATTTTTGAGAAAATCAAAGTTGTACCTTAAAGACAATAAGATCATATGATGAAAATCTTTATTCTCTCTAATGTTAGACTTAGCACAAAAAAGCATTATAACTGTTTCAAAATATCAAAACACTAATGATTATGAATATTTAAATGAATACTTTTTTAAATTAGTTTTTATTCCAGTCAGCCGTTATCTAACATAAATTTCAATTACATTTTTTTTGGAATAACAAATAGTTATCAAAACAACAAAAAACTTGATGTGCCTAATATCTATCAGTGTCCATTCTATTTCAGAATTACAATGTTATGTTTGAACTTCTTACCTATCATTTGCAATTTAAAATGGACTGAAATACATAAATACATAAATTTTACAAGGCTTAATTTATCACAAAATATTTGAAGCTATTACATGCCCATCATCTGAAAATATTGAAAGACATGTCAGTAAATTTTACAAAAATTCTTAATAAAATATAGAATAATAAAAGGCTTTTAGCCCATTCTGTTCTAAAATAAAGGAATTCATGAGAATTATGGGGCATCTTGAAGGTCCAGCATAGCTAACCAATCAGTATACACCATGCTATTTGCTTAAAATAAAAAGCTTAGTTTTCTAAGGTATTAGGAAATCCATGTACGCACCTATTAATGTCAGAGCCTAATTGTTTCTGTTGTTGAGACACTGAATTAGCTGAAGAAGGGCTACAGTGTCGACCATCTGTGCTGCTGTGTGAAGGGCTGTCCGACATGTGAGAATTGTACACTGTAAAAGATCGCAGCCGTGAATTATCATGGGTGTTAACCTGTCCTTTGAAGTTGCCAGAAACTTGATTTGATATCTGAGTGTTGGACTGGGGGTTGTTTGAAGCAACTTGAAAGAAGTTCAACATGAACTCACTCTCCAACAGTGCAATGGGCATTTTGAAAACTACTTGCCTGCAATAAAAAAAAGTAAATATAATAGTGACAACACTTTTTTCTCAATTTCAAAGATTTCTATCTTGTTCCTGAGTTTTTGTTGGTATTTATTTTTTAGAACTTTAATAGCATAAAGGAACCCATCAAAATAAAGGATTAATGATCTTGAATACATAATTAATCAGCTATTATTTTATATATCATTTTTTTTTACATTATGAGCTGAATGTAAAGGCTAGTTACTGGATTAATGGTCTAAATGTTTTTTAAAGTCAAAACGGTCATAAAATCTACCGAGGAGATATCTCAGAATCTATAGGCTCTATATTGTGTATAAAAGATACGAGTTTGTAAACTTACAAATAGATTGGAAGTTAAACCTATTACTCTATATCCTAACTTTTCAGGCACTTTTTTTAATATATGAAAATATGATGTTACAGCAGTTGATGTATTTTTCACACATATAAAACTGATGTTCTAATGGCTGACAAAAATTATAAGAATATTTGATGCTTCAAACATTGATGTCTGTTTTACTTATTAAAAGAAATACAATTTTTTTTATGTCTGCCGACATACTTCCTACATAAACTAAATACTTGATTTTTTGGCTATTACTGTGCTTTCCATAGATAGGATGTTTGATGTTAGTAATAAGTGAGTTGCATAATTTTGATCAATTAACTTTAAAAACTATTGATGAACAGTTTCCTTTAAGTTCCAATTTCTATCTTTTGTGAAGACTTTAAATTGTCCTTTATTTTTAGGCTCATTTAGTACATGGTTCTTAATTCTTAAGTACAAGCATGGAGCCCATATGGACCTTAGTCAAATAATAATAATAAAGTGCACGTAAGGATATACGAATACTTAAGAGTTAATAATACTGGAAAATGACATGGAATATGTTGCAGTTCCTATAAAAGTTCCCTTAAATATGCTAAATGTTACAAAGGCTATGAAAAAAAACTTTCGCTATTAAGCATTGTGGGTTATGTAGAAGCTGAAATAAAACTTACCTTAAACAACTAAATATCACAGCTATATACATCAGCATTATGATTACAACAATATACTTTGAATGTTGTATGAGTTAGCAATACCTATCAAGCAAATGAAATTCCAAATTGAGAATAGCAACAACAAATCCCAGCTCAATATTTTGGAGGGATAATCTTTCTAATAATATTTGAATGGCTTTTCTGAGCCACAACAGAAAAACTATTCTAAAGTGAATCATTTTCACTCTATGATAAGAATATTGGATAATTGAAAACATAATGCAATTCAAACTACTACATAACACTGATGGAAAAGCTAATGCAGAGTCTACTAAATATTAAAAGAAAAGTAATAAAGGTCCTATTTTATCACAGCACTGAAAGGATCTACTAAAGTTCTTACTTTAAGTATTATGGGCATGTACAAAAAGTTCCAGTAGGTCTTACAACAAACCTAGATGTTATGAAAACTAATATACTCAACTAGAAGTACAATGAATTATGCAGGAGCTAATACAAGTGATACAAAATCTAACACAGGACCTATCTTCACAAACACTTAATGTTTCAGATTTTAAAGTCAGCCCTACCAGAAGGCAACTGGATGATGAAGAAAATAATGTAGATACTACTGTACCTCTAATGGCTGTTAGAAAAGATGATGCAGATCTTAAGTCTTCTGAATCTTTCAGTAACAAAAACTACTATAAAGCCTAAGATAATTATATTGAACATTAGAGAAGTGGCAATGTATGCTGCAAGTATATATATATATCCAAAATGTCATTACAACATGCAAGTAATAACAAAATAAAGTAACTCCAGTTCAAGATTAAATTTTTATTCCATGAGAAGCACCTTAGCAGCATTAAAGTTGCTTTGCAGTCATCAACAACCTGATATTTAATTCTTAGATCAAGAGTTTTCTATCAGACTTCTCACTTTAATTGAATCTTAAGCCCGTGTTTCTTTTAAATAGAGTATAGGCTACAATATTCACATAAAAAACATTTTCTAGGTCTGACAAAAAGCCTTACCGTAAGTACTCTGCCATTTCTGTAGCCATTTCATCAGTTATCTCATGGTGATTACTCGAACAGTAACCTATATAAGGAAAATCATAAATGGATAAACAGGTATTTGGTGCAGTTTTAATCAACATTTTCTAACAAGGTTTTAAAGGAATATTGTATGAAAAAAGGGTAATTCTACTTGCATTTTCTTTTGCCCTGATAATACTTAATATGGGATATATTATCAAAATATTCTTTATTATTTGGACATTCTTTTTTTTAATCATTTTAGTGTTTCAAAAAATAATTTGTGTAAGGAAAAGTACTTAACAAAACAGGATGTCATTTTTTACACCTAATTTGACAGTATTATATATTTTTTATCGATAACTTTCTTTTAACAAATTTATTTAACCTTTTTTTAAATCCTGTGTGACCAATTTAATCTCATTCTATTGTTACTGACAAGTGATTCAACAATGTGCAACGAAACAATAAAAACAAAGTTGACTTCAATCTGTGATGAATATAACTTAGAATTTAGATCAACATTTTTTTTAATACACTATAAAATTATGTACTTATTCCAAGTTTGTAAAATTATTATATAAACTTATTTACTTTTAACATAGCATTTTACTTAAAACACTTTCTCTGAAGTTCTATATATTATGATGGTTTAAAATGAGTAACATTGTCTTGTTGGCTTCCCCAAAAATCATGTACCGTTTGCTGACCCCCCCCCCCAAAACAACAGATAAATCTAATGTTCTACAAAGCTGCAACATAATAGATATGAGCATAGTTTCTAAGAAATAACTGCTCAAAGCTTAAATCATTAAAAAAGTGAAACATAACATGACAGATATGAATTTCCCTGGAATACATGATGTAGCAATAGGTTAACAAAAAGGCTATAAAACCTATACATTAGCTATGAGGTCATGAACTAAGCAATGAAGCTTCAAGCAAACTAGCACTAATCTAGTAAAGCAGATTTAATGTTTTTTCTTTTGAATTTCTGATTTATCAAAAAAAAAATACTGACTTTGCTGGGAGGACCTCATAATTCTCAAATAGTAATATTTTTTGCTTATGACTAAATAATTACAAATATAAGTCATTTCACACAATAATTTTGTATTTTCCATATCCAGACCCCAACCACCAACTGGCAGTGGATAAAATAATAATTTCTACAATCTTGATGGACAACCAATTTGGCCATTTTATGTCAATTTGACATTCTCAAAATGTGAAACTTACCTGGTAGCTGTGGTGCATTTCTTCTCCCTTCACTAAGAGTGAAATCTTGATACAGATGTTGAAGCAACTGTAAACAAATGATGGTTGTAACTTCTGCTTACAATGAAATTCAAACACCAATCACAGAAATATTACTTTTTTTAATAATCAACCATTTATGGAGTCTCAAGTTTTAAATTTTACAAAAATCATAGATATGCCATATTATAAAATCAAAGTAAGTATTTCTTGGACATTTAACAGATTTTGATATAACTTTTAAAATTTTGACCCAAAAAAACTTTGTACATTTTAAATTACAATTTCAAATATTAGAACTTACTGCAGAATAATCCCACATTTTCTGTGAGCAATTTGTATCATCACTTCAATTCTATTATCTAATATAACAGTACTATAACATAGTAATGTGACGAGGACATCAAAAAAGAAGGGGCTAATTAACAACAACAACAAATGGCACTTCTCCTAATAACCTGTGGCAAGCAAGGTGTGGAATCAAGTGTATCTTTCTGTAATTGTTGACAATATTTATCACAGAGAAAAAAGGGCACTTTGGAAACTTAAGGGCAGGAGTTTAAGCCCACCCAACCATTCCTCTTTCATGTCACTGCTGTAACAGATATGACAATGTAGCCAAAATATAAACCATGTATTGCACAATCAAACTATAAAAAAAAAGATTTATAAACACAGAAAAGATATTGAACCACACTTAAAAAAGTAATTCATAAGCTTAAAGCATAAGATACAAAATCTCATTATTCCATAACATGCTTCTTCACAAAATAAAGTAGTCAACTGTTAATATAAATTTAACCATGATTTTACAGTATTAACCTTCATATGGCATTCTATGTTACAAAACACATCTTGTTATATTCTTTTATATTTGCTTCTTTGTTGTTAAGCACAAACCTACAAAATGGGCTATCTGTTCTAAGCCTACCATGGGTATTGAAACCTGATTTTCAGCATTATAAATCCTCAGACTAAATGGCACAAGAAAGTGAAACCATTATCTTATATTTTATGGTGATTAGCTGTCACGTGTGGTGGTTACCGAAATTAAACTATTGAGGTGTTTGAAGGAAACTATAAATTTGGATAGGTTGAAAGTACATTTGTTTCATTCGGCTTTAACAGAGTAAAAATATTTAAGTGTTCTAATATGTCATTAAATATTAGTTCAATTGATTTCCTAAAATCATGATGTAGTTTTAAATCTAATTTTTAATTCAAATAATATCATTTATAAGATCCCAATGATACTGTTTTAAGTAGTAAAATGCCTTGAGAACTTTTTATTCAGAATGTAAATAAAAATTTTCATTTCTAAGAATACATACTTTTTGATGAAAATTAAACATTTCTTGGTTAGTTTTCAGTATTTCTGTGGTCTTTCTGGCCCATGTCACCTACAGGAAATAAAGAAAAAAAATCCTTAACAAACTTAAAAATACTTACAATACAATAAACATACACAATGGTAAACCCACAACAGGATTTGTTTATTAATCATCAAGACTAATAGTAGTTACTATAAGATATTAATCAACTGTACATTGTCACAAAAAATATAAAAATAACAAAGGAAGTAAACAATTACACAGAACAAGATAACCCTTTCTGGACCGGAAGGGTGTCACTGATATTCCTTTATTTTTTCCCTTCTCACAGTAGAAATACCCAAATTGCATGAAACTTACTATAAACATACTAAACAGTATCCACTTTTGGTTTGAAAAAATTGATATAATTTGAATTAAGTTTTTATCAATTTTTGCCTGTGAATTATTACAATTTTTTTTGAGAGATACTGTTTTGTAAAAAATGCTAAAATACTGCCTTTAGTCTTAGAATTTAAATTTTTTCTGATGCTGATAAAAAAAGTTCCATTTTATATAAACAATATGTTTCAAGTTGATTGATATTCATTGAAATATTTCTTTTGATACTTTATTTTGTCAACTGCTGTTATCATCACTTCCAACTATAAATTAAATTAGGAGAAAACTGACCTGCAATCTGGCCTGTCACAATTTTATCAGGTGGGGCTAGGTAACAATATTTTTCTAACACTATTCTTGGTTAAGATCAATTTATATCTAACAGTTTCTTTTCAGTAAATGTTTTTTATTTATCTATATTATTTGAATACAGTATACTTAACAATAAAATGCAATAACTAATAATTTGAGTCGCTGAAATAACTTGCCATAACCTACCGTACTCTCTAAACATAGCTAGGTTTACCTGATGTCTTGTCACAGAAAAATTCTACATAACTTTCATAAAATATATAATGAAAAAAGTTTCAAGAAAGTAATGAATATGTTAAAAAATATACAAAAATTATATACCTTTGATTAATTCCTAAGTATCCTAAACCTCTCACTAAATTTAATTGTTCTTCTGTAAGAGCTACATCTAATAACAGTCCCACAAAATCATAAGTTACTTCTCGTAACACTTCCTTCGTTCTACATTAACATAAATACTTTAGAACCTGTTCTATCTAATGGTGTTTAAACATAGCCTGTAGGTGAGGTCATAGTACTGTAAGAACTGAGGCCTTATAATAATGAAGTGTCAGACAAAAGAATCAAAACTTGGTTAGATATAATCTCAAGAAACAGTTCCTTAGCAAATAAATACCTATACTTTGTAATGAGCAGAAAAATTCTAAAAATTGATAAGTGCTGTTTACAGGTAAGACTCTTCAGGACTGTGCAGAAATGTAAGTTTGAACTTTTTGTTTTCATTTTTCTTTGCAAATTACACTAAATAAGTGTTACAAATGACAACATGTCAATGTTAAGATATTTTAAAGTAATAAAATTGTTTAAGTACAGTTACAATTATTATTGACTTAAATTTTGAAATTTGATATGCCAGTGTGCATGATATCAGAAAGATGCTTACAGGTCTGGATAGTCAACTGTGACACAACTTTCAAATATTGGGTTTTTTTTTCAGCAGGGGGAAAAACATATACATTTCTAAGCCAACAAACTTAATAAATAATGCTAACCTTAAGCTAAGGGGCAAAAGGCTTGATTAGTTTACAAGTTAATTCATAAAATTAAAAAGTTTTACACAAAAGGGATTAGAAACAGGTTATATATAAGATACAAAAAATATATATTATCCCAACAATATATTAATTAAAATTCTGATTAAACTGATTGTTATTAAAATAACCCAATGCACATAAATGGGTCAAAGTGCACACATCACAATCTTTTCAGTTACATTCAAAATTTAATTAAACAACTTTATTATCAATGTATGTCAATAAACTTAGCATCAAAATGTAGTTTATAATTCAAATTTTATTTCTTAATTTCTGAAGGGAGTATTTAAATGATTTCCTAACCTTCACTTCTCTTTATCACATGACACTTTGCTCCAAATTGCCCATTTTAGATTTTCTTTCTGTCCCTATAAGATCTTCACAAATTACACACTATGGTACAGATATTGCTAAGCCATGGTATACATGTATAGCATCCAGTCTTTTTGCTTTACTGAGATATAAACAAGGACAAAATTTTGAAATATCCATTTAGTGACCTAAATCAATATAAGTATGTAATTAATATTATTGCATTGGGCCTAATTATTCATATTACACAATGGATCATATATTTAATGGTATTATTATGAGATTTCTTTTCCCCAAAGGTAAAATGGAAAATATAACCTATGATGTATAGGTCTAATACATTCTTTGATTCACCACACCCTGTGCTGTGTACTGTAGTTTTGCTTAGTCAAGCACAATGCCATATTATTCACACACCTAAAATAAAGTTACCAAAAAAGGGGTAAATTAAAAATAAAAAAAAACTGAAAAACCCAATAAATAAATAAAGTCAAATCAACATGCCACACCCCTCCTATAACACCCTGTCTTTAAAAAAAAAGTCTATAATTCTCTCCGATATTGTTATTGATCATGTTTATAACCATTAGTCAGAGCATATTGTCTAATAAGCAAACCACATGATTGATTGTTTGAACTATTATTTGCTGTAAGAGCTCAACACATTTTGATCAAAGATGTTGAATCAAGATATAATGAAATTTTTGTAACCCACCACCAACCTCTCCTTTTAGGCTATTACACACCATGGTGACTACAGCAAATTAGCAAATATCACTAATAACTAAGGTCTAGTGCCTGAAAAATACTAGAATTGGAAATGTTAATCATGTAGAGCTAAAATAAAACAGGAAAAGTTACAATACATTTTTTTTTATCAGATATGCTATTGCTTAAATACCAAAACTGCAAAAACTGTGTTTGACAACATGATTATTTTGGAGGATTTGTCATGCTTGATTTCATTGCAATACATATTTAAAAAAAAAACTAGTAGAGAGATATATTGATGGGTTTATCTTATTTCATTTGTTGCACATGTAGCACAAAAGAAAAACTCTACGTAAACATTTCTGGTAAACGTGTACACACACACACAGTAGAGAAAGTCCAAGTTACCTGTATCCTGTAGGACTTTCTGTTATGAACACCTTTCACTTCCAGATTTGAGATTCTAGCTGGAAAAAACAAAATCATGAAGTACTTTTATTTAATTTCATTATAAATTTAAATATTTAATAATAAATAAAGAATACAAATGAAAAACAAGAAAAAAGTACTTACCTGGGTATTTTTTTGCTTTTGCTATCGACTGTCTATGACACTTAACCTTACTTTTTTATACTAATGGTACTACTGTATTAAATAAGTCTTTATTTAATTAAATAATTCACCAAAGAACATAGAATAATAATATGCAGAAAGCAGACAACATTCCAGAAGTATCATATTTTTTCTCTCTTTCTAAATATGTGACAAGAGCCATTAAAAATTTAGATAAGCTCATTATGCATTTCCCATGGGAATCAAGTTTGAACTGGAAGCAAAACAGATAATTTTCTGTACAGAAAACAATGTAATTTAATACATCATTTGACAGATAATATAGTATTAAATGTCAGAGATAACTATTGGTAATTTCTGAAAGAGAGGATGCGACAGGTGGGTGTGGCAAATGGGTTCTGATTTTCTATTTTATGGCTCTGTCTGAGCAATGACAATATTATAATTAATATCTTACATTAAATGTCATACTTTGTGAAGGGTTGGTAAATTAATTACAGAAAAGGGGATTCTCCTAGAGAGCAAATGAACAATTCTCATATTAGGGGAAATTGAGATTTTTTTTTCTATATTGCCTTATAAAATAAAGATCTTAAATATTATATAATATTAAAATTTGGATTATTAGCTACATTTTTATGCCAATTTTATTTATATACCATGATAAGAAAGTAGTTTAACTAAATTTTGAATGTAACTCACTAAAACTTCCTGACATGTGCACAAAATGACACTTATTCTGAAAAGAGTTAAACTGCATAAATCTCATTTCTTTCTCATGTTAAAATTTCCATTTATCTCAAACAATGTGGTTCCAACTCAGCCTACTTTCTTTATTATTTCCTTTATGAACTTAAACAATAGATTAATTTTTTTCTAATTGTTGTTCAACTTTACATACTCCTCCAGAAAACAAATTTTTCTTTTACAGCTTCTTTTTTTTGTTATAAAGCTTTAAGTCACTTCATTGTCAAAATTAAGATTATATTAACCAACCAGCATTGCTAGTAACAATCAGCTTATAAACACCATATTCTGATAATGTTTACATTATGGATGATAGCTATCAAAAGTGAAACTGTCTTTTCTCAGTTTACATCTTAAAAAAAAAATAAGTGTTCACACTTACCTCTTGGACAGTGATCAGGTTTAAATCTTTCTGGATACACTAATGGACAAGTACTTGTAACAACAGTGGTGATGTTCTTAGCCAGGGCAACTGTTTCAGCAGGCATTAGATGGGTTACAGAAGATGCTAAAGATACTGCAGTGGGAACTGATGTATTTGCATTACAAACTGTAGAAATTGCACTTGATAAAGGGTTTACAGGTAACTTCTTTGTTGACTGAAACTGAAAAACCAAAAAAAAAAAGCAATTTCATCAAACATGCATAAGAAAATGCATATGAAATAGATGGCTATGAAAATTGGAAATATGTCATGGTTTGCTAGAAAAACTTGTGATTTTTAACTACTACATTGGCTTTCATCACCAAAAAAGGTATAATTAAACCATAAACTGAAATCAGATGTACAAGTAACAATAAAGCCTTGCACCTGCATACATATGCAGTAAAGTACTTTAAATTAGTACTTTAAATATATGTTTACATAGAAGTAACACTAGCATCCTTCTTAGAGGCAATATTCTTCATCTTTGAAATTATAAATTCAGATATATTATTTGACAAGTTTACTTTTTAATTACTTATGACTTCTGAAATGATTTGCTTGATGATGTTATATGTGTGGTTTTACTTCTTAACATTTATTTATATAGATATGAAGTGCTACCATTAAATATGCTTTTTGTTTTTTGGTAGTCTTCTGCTACCTTGTTCTTATAAAACTGAACTATTTACCTCATTTGATAGTTTGAACAATCAGAAACAATATAAAGGTTCAAACAAAATGATTTAGCAAAAAAATAGGAGACATTCTAACTAGCCTCTGGCAAGATTTATCACTTAGTTTATGGTTGTGGAACATCACAGCCCAATTATTAGGCTAGGTACTCTATTAAAATTACTATTGTACCACAGCCCAAATATTAAAGCAAAATTTCCATAGAAGTAGAAGTTCTAATGCTAGAAGTAGAGTTCAGCTTATATCAACATTTATTGGTGTACTTATTCAACTAATAATAATGATCACAAAAAACTTCCACAAAGAAAATTACACCTAATTCAAATATTTTTAATTACCAGTATTGTTACATCATTTTCATGTGACCAAGAGATGTTGGTAGAAAATGCCAGATTCTAGATGTAGCATTGTACCTCATATGGAGATTCAGGCTATGGTATAATGGTAACAGACAAATTGTAAAAAGAAAACCTAGCTCAACATCTGGGCTAAAGAACACCAGTAATATCAGTTATTTTAGTGAGTGAGGTATCTAAATAAAAGCCTATATCAGTATATGTAACTAGTAAACATTTGTCATTAGGCCTAACCCTAGTATAATGAACAAACAATTTATGCCGTTCTTATATTACAATTTGGAGTTAAAATGAGATATTTATAAAGCTCAAGTTTGTCCTTACCTCATTTACTTCATTTCCAACAACTTTTTCTACCCAGGCAAGTTGATCTGCAAGAACAGACTTTTGCTCGAATGTAAAGGCGGGGTGATGTACAGCCATAGTAAGTAACAGTAGAATCTCACCAGCAACCTCTTCGTTTGACACCAAGTCAATAAGTGTTTCTCGTTTAAAACCAGTCAGTATTTTGTAGAATGTATTAGAACAAGCAGGATTAGATGAATTAAGCATTGCTAAATACACAATTAATTTGCTTCTTGTAACATTATCTCTTATATTATGAATACTGAGATCTTTTATATCTTTCTCGTTGTTAGCTTTCTGCTCTACATCCCTAAAGTGGTAGAAGTCCTTCCTTCCCAGCTCTTCCAGACACGTTCCGAAAAATCTCAACTCCAACGGTAAACACATGTTAAGTAATCCACACATTAAATCTACTCTTTTTGATCCATTTAGTTCTATAAACCAAGAACAAACCTCTTCTTTGCAGACCATGGCGCATTACTGACAATAAAATATCGAAAATGTCACAGTCTGATCTAATAATTCAGCAACCACCGAAACTCAGATAGACAGTCGCCATTAGAAGCCTGACATCTAGCTAACTCTACATCCGGGTATTTCAGATACGACGACCTTGGCCAATCGCATATTTAGAAAAAGCGAAATAAGCTACTCTTGATCCCGAACATTCTGAAGCAAGGGCACACCCTAATAATCTTGATATTCACATTTCGTTTTAATAGAAAATATGTGATTTTTCCTTTATCTGTGTACAATTTATCATATATATTAAGTTGAAGTAAAAACTTTCTCAAAAATTAAACTAATTTACTGAATTATCTTAAAGACAAATACTCCTCTTTATTACACCAAGAAATGTTTTTAAAATGTTAACCTGAAAGAAACTCTTTTGTTTTTATATGTAAGAGATGGATGTAATACTTTGATACTGAAATTGGATGGGCTAAAGTTTAATATATACATTTTTTTAATTCCCAAGAAGTAACTTAAATACAACTTAAGTTACTCCTCACACTTTACTTCTAAGCTCTAAATTATACACGTGTGGTTGTTGTGTGCGAATCCGCGGGATGGAGAATTATAAATAATTCATTAAAATGATTTTTAGTCTCCACTGTGCACTTAGATATCTGCATTTAAGTAATATTGGAAAATTTATTGTTAAATAATGGAAATGGGTCTAGATTAAAACCATGTTAAACTGTGTTGAAAAATCGCTTTAAGATTTTTTAGATGTTCAACTTATACTTCGTTGTTATTACTTTTATGTATATCTTCCTGCTTATGAATAGTTTAGATAATTCCTTTAAAACATGAGATATCAAACGTTTCCGTGACTTAAAACCACCTTTCTTGGGTCAGAAGATGCCTGCCCCCACAGTGGCACCGTGGTATATCTGCAGACTTATACTGCTAGAAACCGGGTTTCGATACCCATGGTGAGCAGAGCACAGATAGCCCTTTATGTAGCTTTATGCTTAGTAACAAATAACAATAACAGAAGATGCCAGTGATTAACCGACTAGTATTTTATTATTGTTGGATAAAAGTAAAAACAGGGAAATTAGAAAAAGTTTGGATATGACATTTATCAAAATAACTTCGTAATCATTTTAAAAAGCGACTCTTTGCTGAAGTAAGTACATGTATTTGTATTATTGCCACTACATTGAGGCTCATAGAATGGCTCAGAGTTTTTCAAGTAGAAACCTATAGCTCATATCTCCGTAACCTCTTGACTGATTTGAGATCTAATTACAGTTTTTGACTCAGAAGGTCAAACCCTTTCGATCGATGTATTTGACCACGCCCAAAGTCTCATAGAGCAATTTACTATAATCATGATTAAAAGTGATTCAATTTGAGGGTGAGATCGTACAGATCCTGATGGGTAATAAAATCGAATGGAGTATACGCGTGCCTTATGCTCGGTATTGCAGGCACACAACAATTTAGCTAATAAAAGGGGGGGGGGGTCTCATACATTAATTTACTCTAATCCTGCCTAAAAGAATTTCAAGTGCCGCGGCTATTGAGAAATCCCTCTTGTTTTATTTATAGTAACGATTAATCGTTTGATCACATTATTACCAACTTCGTTGTTATCCTAAAATGCTGCTAGATTGATCTTTATATCATCTGTAACAGGGATGTAATTGCAATAACTGAATTATTACAATCAGTATTACAGTAGTTAGTCTTGTTTACTTTTTTGTTTTGTTAACTTAATTACTAATTATAACTCAAATTAAGTATTAAATGTGTTGCTATCTCTAGTGCCTGAAGTTTGAAAAATTAGAAGTGGAACTGAATTAGTGAAATATATTGTTACGTCTCCGTTTC